TGCTCTGCAGGAAGTAGAGGCACGGCATGCTGGGATTGTGGAGGACTAGGGCTGTCCAGAGGGATCTCAGAGCGCTCGGTCGTTTGGATTGGCGGGTGGCTCAGCTCTCAGCTTTATTTTCATCTGTGGGTCCAGCGTGGGGCCATAGTGGAGACCCCAGCCCTGCACCCCCCTTCTGTTAAAGTGATACTTGGTCTGGCTTTGTCTTTTGTTGACAAAAATGAGGGTGAGTTCCATAGTTCTGGTTCTGTAACTCATGTCAGAGAGCATCGTAGCAGTCGGTGTCTGACCCTTGACCCCTCACCCCTGACCCTGGTCTCCCTGTCCATCAGCTATGAGCGTGTGGACGCCACACTGCAGCCATCCAGGCCTGGAGTAGCCTCTGTCCCCAGGCCCAAATCCGGAAGGAGTGCAGCAGCTCCCGACCCGGGGGGGAAGGACGCCATTGGCCGAAACAAGTCCCGCCCTGGACGAGGGAGCCAATCAGAGAGCCCACTTCCGCATTCACCAAATTCAGGTGCATTCACGGGCACCTTTTCCTGCCCCGCCCCCGAGCCTGCTTCCTCCAATCCCAATCCTCTCTGTGACGCGTGAGCTCCCTGATTGGCTCCCTCGTCCAGGGGCGGGACCCTGTTTCGGCCAATGGCATCCTTCCCCCCCCCCCCCAGGGTCGGGAGCTGCTGTGCTCCTACCTGATTTGGGCCTGGAAGGGGAGCCTTCACAGGTGGGGGGTAAGTGTAGACTGACCCCGCCTCTCTCCAGCTAGTGAACAGAAAGGCCGAGAGCTGTTATTTGGAAGTGTCGCTGTACGAAACCAGCCTCTTCCGATCAAATGCATCGACTTGCGTTTCCTCACAAAAGGTGGACGGCATCATCTTCGGGGGTCCGAAAGGGGGTCTCGGGGCCTTCCGGTGCACGGATCAGGTCGTTAGAAGGCGCTGTCTAACGGATCTGTCAAAAGCCGCCGTGCTTTGCAGTGAAGTACATACCCATCCTCCTCCTCCTCCTCCTCTCTCTCTCTCCTCAGTTCTAAAAAGTCTCCGGCGGCCCCCGAGGTGCCCATGCCCGCCCCCCGCCTGAAGAAGAGGCTGAGCGCCTCCCTCTCCGACGGCCGCGCCCCCTCCCCGGCCTCGGTCACCCCCCAGCCCAACGGGCGAGCCCCGGCCAATGAGAGGGCGGCCCCGGCCCCGGCGGCCAATGAGCCGGTGGCTCCCAGGCGCTCCAGGAAGAGCCCGCCCACCCCCGTGCTCAGCCAGGAGCAAGGCACTGTGGGAGGCCGGGAGGCAGACAGGAAGGTGGACCCAGCAGAGCCTCCTGAGGTGAGATGAGCCTCACCTCTCTGTCACTGTCTCCTTTT